GTGAGCGGCTTCACACACTCTAAAGAAAAACGCAGATACTGTTTTTATTGGAACACTCACAAGTCTGAAAGTAGGAGCAGCTTCTCAACCTTCCTGAGTCAAGAGGACTGAATTTAGCGCTGCCCAGAAATACGCCATGGGATCGGCTTGAACTTGGGCAGCTGGCAACCTGTCCTTGTCTCCCTTGCCCTCAGTTCTCAATTCCTTCATGTTCTGCCCCATCTGAGCTCGCTGGCTAAGCAGCGCTGGAAGGGGGTGCCACCAAGGGCTCCCGGCTTCTCAGTTTTTTCCTCCGCCTGCGTCCTGAGCAGCTGTGGAAATGTGCCGCCACCTGGTGGTCACTGCTGAGCATAGAGCCCCAGCAGAGGCTCCGGAATAAGCCTTTCAGGCCCTTGAAGCTGGTGCCAGGAAGCCCCCACCCCGCTAAGACTCTTGTAGCTTGAACATCTCCTTGCTTCCTGGGTGCCTACAACCTGGAAAAAAGTTTAGAGCTAACTGAACGCTTCTCTGGACTCTCCATTAGGGCCTGGAGGCCTTCTGACCCGTGTGGTGTTGGTGGGCGTCTGGCGGGTAGGGCGTTTAACCAAGGAGTTCCCCTTTGCTGAGCAGGATTTCCTGTGGCTCTGAGTGAAGGAACCTTGAACTCTCCCTTCCCCCTTGCACTGGTTCTGAGTGAGTCTCCCGAACTCAGGCTTTGGCCTCAGGAGTCCCTGGCTCCTTGGCCAAACCCATGTGGCTTGAGTCACCGAGTCATGGGGCCCTAGTAGGAAGCCCCCTGGGGACAGCGGCTCCAGATCAGCCCCTGGAGGAAGGCTTCTGGAGGGCCTAGCCTCCTCCTTGCGGGCTGACTGAAAGCAGGGAAAGGAGGAGTGCCGGGAGAGGCCACCTTCTTGGCCATCTTGTCCTTTCTAAGCCTCTGCTGCTGCCTCACAAGCATGAAACTCTGGGGTAAACATATAATAAGGTTTTGGGGAAGTGGTGATGGGGCCCAGAGGAAGTGAACAAGCTGATTTTGTGCAACTGCGCAGGCAGTCTGAGCCAGCCCCAGGCAGAAGCCACCACCTCCCGCCTGCCCGACATCCTGTCTCAGCAGCTGCCTGGACCCGTTCTAAGTCTCCAAAGGTTCCCCGGCCCCCCCCGCCCCCGGGCTCCTGCCCACATAGCATCTTGCTGTCGGTGCAGGATGGTTGCTGGAGATTTTCGGGCTTGTCTGAGAAGCTGCAAAGGAGCAGCTGAACGGCTCTCTGGCCAGCCTGTTGCGACATCAAGCAGAACCCCAAGGGAAAGGTTGCCTCCCTGTGGCTGAGCTGTGTCCAGGTGTGCCAGGCCAGGGTTTGGGATAGGTGAGGGCTTTCCCCCCAGGACTCCAGATGCTTTTCCTGTGGTTCAGCTTGACGGGTCCTCCCTGGTCCTTGCCTCCTCTGTGGAGTCCAGGTTCTTCTAGTAAAACCGAAACAGACACAACCCTTCTCTTAGAGAGGGAAATTCCCTGAGCCACGTCTCCCTTATAATTTATTTTATTATTAAAAAAATAGTTTTAGCACTCTGGTCCAATGAAAGATTTTCCTTCTGCCCCAGAGCTCCCCATGGGGCCCCACCAAGTGGCCTGCTGGTTTCTCCACGTCTTTGTAATTCAGAGCAGGTGCGACACCTACATGGCACTTGTGCTCTCTTCCACGGTCCTGGTCACCACTTCCTTTTCCAGGTGTGGGGTTAGGACGTCCAATTGATAATATGGCAGCATCAAGTCCAGGGACGCCTTGTACTTGTGAAAGCTGCCCATGGTTGTTTGCTTGCCCGTTCATTTACTGAAGCCAGGAGCCTGGGATTGAATGCGGGCTCTGCCACTTCCTAGCTGTGCCACTCGGGGCAAATTACATCACCTCTCTGAGCCTTAGTTTGCTCCGCAGTGATTATAGTATCTACTTCATCATAGAATGTTGAATAAGACCATGAAAGTAAAATGCTCAGCACTCTAGATGGTATAAAGGAACGTACTTAACAGGTCCCAGCTGTTAACACCCAGTGGTATTCTATACCCAGTGCCAAGCTGATGCCCTCTGGGTCACTGAGGTGCTTTCCTAGTCATTCATTTAGCAAAAATATACTTGAGCACCACCATCTGCCAGGCATTGTGGTGGGGCTAGAAATGAAATAAACTTTTTTCCAGGTTGTAGGAGGTCCCTACGTTTCGGAAGCTTGCGAGGTAACAGGGGAGGGGGCTTATAAACACAGCACGGGGAGGGGATGTCTGGGAAGTTCTCTTCGGGGTCCTGTTTGAGAACAGTCTTGAAGGAAAAGTGCTTGTGTTCTAGGTGGGCACGGGGAGAAGGGCTTTCTGAGCCGGGTGCACAGGGGAAAGGAAGCGAAAGCATAGTGGTGTTTGCGGTTTCAGGGGGGAGGGGGAGATCCAGGCACCAGGAGGCTGCAGAAGCTGGGAGACCCCCACCTCGAACAGTCTCATATGCCATTCCAGGGAGGCTGGACTTGATCCTGAGGGCTATGCAGAGGCTGTGAGGGCACTTGCATTGGGAATGGCTCTGGGGGGGGGGGGCGGCTGAGGTGGTCTCTCTGTGAGAGATGAGGGAAGTTACCCAAGAGCAGCTGTGGCTACTCATGTGTGTGTGTGTGGAGGGGGGGGTGGGTAAGCAAGATGACCATCTGCCCTGGCCTCTCTGTCTCCTTTTCCAGGCTGCCTTCTGGTGCTCTATCTGGAGGGAAAAGTTGGCTCAGGGCCCAATCCTAGGCCAAAATGCTAAGTAACTGTAGAAACCTCTCTCCTCACCCCTTCAATCACTTCCTTGAGCAGGGATGGGCTCAGGCCTGCCTTGTTCACAGAGAGGAAATTTCCAGAGAATTCCCAGGTGGGAAGAGGTGAGTAGGTCAGGTGTCCCAAGTGTGGCCCCTGCCTCTTCTTTCCCCCCTGGATTATTCTCTCACATGCTATCCTGCGCCCACCACACTGTTCTTGTCACTGGTGCTGGGTCACAAAGCCTTCTCCTTGGTGTCTCTAACCCAGCCCAGGTGGGCTGGTTCCAAAAGAACTCACCAGTGTCCTAAAGGAGGACGACAGGGGGAAGAATCTGCAAGCTCACCAGTCAGGTTTCTAGCTCCAGCTGTCCAATCGTTCCCCAATGCCTTGGTCCACTTCCTGTGGCTGGATCCATGGCTCAGGCTCTTTCCTGGCCTAAGCCACCTTACCTCTCACCCAGCTTCTGTCCCATAACCACACAGAGGCCCCCATCTCTCTCTCTAAGTGCGGAAGCTGCCTGTCATCTGACCAGTTCTCAAATGCGGAGCAAGGCTGTGAGGCAGACCTGGGGCAGCCAAGCCCCTAAGGAAACCACTCCATTGCTGTCCATTCGCCCCAACTGGGCAATACGACTCGTCCCTACACCAGACAGTCTCTCTCTCACATAGGGCTATTTGGGTGCTACCCGGTGGCAAGGGGCTGGCGGGGAGGGTACATTTTTTTTTTTACAGCGGGTCACCAAGGTTCAACGGTTGCTTTAGGGCGACTTCTTTTGGTAGCACGCAGCCTCCTAGAAATGGCTGTGACTTCCTTCTCTGAAGCAGAGATAAAGAAAGCAGTTGCAGTAGAAACTTTACGAGAAGCCACGCTGAAGGCTGACAAAACTTCTCAAGCTCCCAGGGCGCAGGGATGTGGGCATAGGTAACACTGGAGAATGCCGGGGTGGCGGAGATGCAGTTGGGGAGCGCTGCCCCTTCATGTCTTGGGGGGGGTTCACCCAGGGAGAAGTGGCAAGTCTAGAAGGCATGAGCAAGGGATTCAGGCTTGGGCCAACTGGGGATGAGGGTGGGGGAGCAGAGGGTGACATGGAAGTGGCAGCCTGAGGCATCTCACCAGGGCCCTGGCGAGGATGGGAACAGCACTGTTGATAGCGCTGAATTTTAGTTTTGGCTGTACATAGGTTGGTGTTTAAGGCAAATATTATAAACCCTTCAATCCACAGTGCGGGGTCAGGTCCACCCACCCCTTCCTCTAAATCACCCCTTTGGGCAGGACTGAGACGCATCTGAACTCCATGGACCTTAAATCATAATTGCTTGTAAGTGTCTGGTTTCCAGAAGTTGCAGACTAGGTGAGCAACTTCCAGGAAAGCAGTGTGGTTCCTCTCTCCCTGCGGGCAGGGGTGGGGGGGTATGCCATGTGATGATGTGCGACTGTGGCCCTTTCCCTCCTCTCTGCCTGGCCAATCATCCTGTTGTCCTGTTGTCCCTCAAAGAGGTTTGTCACTGGATGGTTGCTGGGGTGAGGGCATGTGAGACCTCTGGTGGGTGTGCAGGGCCGACGAGGGGAAATGTCGAGTCAGCAGATGTGCTTATGGGAGGTGCTGTGTTTTTTTGCCCTTCTAAGCAGGGGATCTTAGCTTGTTCCTTTGGCAAAGGATCTTTGAGGCAAAAGCTGGGTCCCAGCTGTGCCTGGCCAGGAGTCAACTCATGCCACTCAATTCTCAGGGCTTGCTGCTTTGCACTGTATTAGTCTGTTCAGGCTACTGTAACAGAATACCAAAGACTGGGTGGCTTATAAGTCACAGAAATTCTCAGTTCTGGAGGCTGGGAAGCCCACGATCAAGGTGCCAGCAGATTTGGAGTCTGGCGAGAGCCAGCTCCTTGGTTCATGAATGGCAGAAGGGGTGAAGGAGCTCTGTGGGGTGTCTCTTATGAGACACTAATCCCATGCATGATGGCTCCATCCTCATGACCCAGGCATCTCCCAAAGACCCCACCTCTTAATACTGTCACTTTGAGGCTCAGATCTCAACCTATAAATTTTTTTTGGGGAGGGGGGACACAAACATTAAATCTGTAGCATGCGCTAAGAAACCATAAATTCTGGCTAAGGCTGCCACCAAAATCTAGTTCTTGTTCCCCTGTGGCTCCCATTTGCCTCCTTGTCACGGGATCTTTCTGCTAAGCTAGCAGAAAGCCAGAATATTCGAGTCCGTGCTTCTACTGCTCTCCCACGCAGCGCTACACTCCCATCCGTGCCCGAGTGAATGAATTCTGAGCCTTCTCCATGCCGCTCACACCCCTCTCTTGCTCTTTCCATCTTCTTGCTGAGCGTTCCTGGTCTATGCTTCCTCTTGGCCCATCTCACTTCCTGAAACACCCCTGAAGAGGGTTGCTTATCTGGATGGAGCCCGAGTGGCCCTCTGGGGGCAGGAGGCAGAGGCCTTGAGCGTGTCCGTCTGGGGAACTAAGAGAAGCGGCACTTTCAGATTCAACCCACATAGAACTGTCCTTCACGCTTCCGGGAGCCCAGGGATGTGTGGCCCGCAAAGGGGCAGAAAGTGATTGCCCCTGGATGGGCTCTCTCTAAGAAAAGCTGGGGTCTCCAAGGGAGTGTCCCACCAGAGAAGAGAAGGAATGAGCGAGTCGTGAATTTCAGACTGTTGCTGCTGCATCTGGACCTCTAGCGAGATGCCTGGCAAGAGCTAGGCTCCCTGGGCCACACGGATCCAGTCAGCACGCTTGGGGAGAGCAAGATGGCTGTCAGCAGCACTGCTCTGTTGTTGGCCAAGGTTACCTACATCACCGTGGAGATTGTTATTGGGCTCTGTGCCATAGTGGGCAACGTGCTGGTCATCTGGGTGGTCAAGCTGAACCCCAGCCTGCAGACCACCACATTCTATTTCATTGTCTCCCTGGCCCTGGCTGACATCGCTGTTGGGGTGCTCGTCATGCCTTTGGCCATTGTCATCAGCCTGGGCATCACCATCGACTTTTATAACTGCCTTTTCATGACCTGCCTGCTGCTGATCTTCACTCATGCTTCCATCATGTCCCTGCTGGCCATTGCTGTGGACCGATACCTGCGAGTCAAACTCACAGTCAGGTAAGAGGGGGCAGAGTGGGGCAGTGAGGCAGGTGCCTGGGACATGGGGCTTCTTCCCTGAAAACACATCCAGTCTGGCCTCTGATCTTGAAAGAGGGCACTACGTTTCTTTGCCCCATTTGGTGTGTGAGGGGTTTAACAATGCTGAGCTGGGACTGGGGAACAGCTAAAGAGGATGAAAGCTTGATGCATCTTTATTTACTATTTTTTTTTATTAGCGTCTCTAGCTTGATGCATCTTTAATTGGTAAAAAATGTTCTTGAGTTTTAGAAATGATAGAGACCTACTGGATAACATAAGGAGCAGACAGAGAAGGATAGGAGGAGATAAATAAATGGACGGTTCTGTTCTTTGCAGATGGAGGTTATTTTAAAGTTATTTTAGTTTTGCTTCCTCTTCCAAGTTGAGGAGGGGACCAAAAAAAGTTCTCCATTGCCGAAAGTAGTAGCAACGTTTCATGTGATGAGACCAGAACAGAACAGACCGCCAAATGGAGACATCTCATTCCCCAGGTGTCCTGAATGGCAATCGCCTTGCTCTCCTCCTCTCTGGTCTTGGGGAAGAGACATGGGGAGGGAGCTGCAAACAAGTTTTTGATACTAAAAAGCCCAGGCTCAAAGGCCAGATCTTGAGATCTGAGCTGGAGCAAGTGACTTCTGCTGTTTGGTTCCTCATCTTTCTGCAGCGGTTAAGATACTCTGAACTCAGACTCATGTTGTTTCCATTTTACCTCTGCCACTTCTAGCTTGTCCGGGTTACCTGCCTCTGTTTCTTTTTTTTTTACCTATAAAGTGGGGACAGTAATTGCCACTCCCTCATAAAATTATATAGGTCACACATATCAGGCTCTTAGAAAAATGCCTGCGCACGGTCTACGCTCACTCAATGGTGGCTGTAACTACTGTTATCCTCCCTCACCCAGTCACCGGTAAGGGAATGGAGATTGTCGTAAAACTAGCTTCAGTTTGTTGTGAGATGTAACTGAGATACAGTCTCCCGAGGACACAGTCGGTACGTAACAAAATCAGTGTCCTTCTTTTTTTTTTTTTTAATAAAGATTTATTTATTTATTTGAGAGAGCAAGAATGAGAGAGAGTACATGAGAG